ATTTTTTTCCAACTATTTAAGTTGGTCTAATAAAAGATATTTGATCCCCTAAAGAACCTTGTCTGCCTATGTCCTTATACCAACAAGGCTACAACCGACACCCCTGTAACATCTGTATAAAACATCTGAGTCAAATTTACCATATGTGAGCTTTGCTTTGGTGTCATTCTGGGGTAATGGTGGTATAAGTAACCTCAGAATCATATATGTGTAAATTATTTTCTTGTGAACTGAAGAGGTAATATGATATAGGAGAACATGGCAGGAAGTTCTCTATGTATGGAATCCGGTTTGGTGAGGACTGTGTTTGGCATGTGAAGAGGAGGTGTCACTAAAGAGGGAGCAGACATGAGACAAGAAGGGATTATTATACATTGACCACAGAAAGGAGTTCTGTACCTAATCAGACAAATTGCTCTTATTCCAGAATAATAAAGAAGAGTTTAGAGCAAGAATTGATCAAAACTCCTACATTCTGGCTAAGTCCTATGTAAAGGCTTGTTTTGGATCTGGCTGTAACTGCATATTCAAGATGGGTTTGAATCTTTCTCTATTGCTACTGATATTTGTTAAGAATTCCACGTAAAGATTTACACAGAGAAAACTACATACAGTGCACAATGTGTATTGTTGTTCCTACAAAAGCCAGGCATTATGCTACATATTCCTGAGTGCCATCTGCTGGCTTTTTATCTATTACCGAACTAAAAATACACTCATGTACATGCTCATTTATAGACTACTCCCATAAAAATATTGATCACTGTTGCAGGCAAGACACTTGACTAAATGGACTGCTGGCCTAATTTGATAGAACAATTCTTGTTCCTGAACCTTTAAAATTTGCTAAGAAAATTGACAGTGAAGCAAATTTATCTTATTAATATACTTCCAAAATCTCTATTTCCATTTTGCTCCACCTTATTTGAGATTTATTTTGGAATGCTGATGACAGGGAATAACAAAGTAAATTTAAGTTAATTTAGGGCTTATGACATTATCAGTTATAGCACTTTCATAATTTCTTTTAATACAAGCAACATCAATAAAAATAAAGACTTCTTATAAATGAATGTTTTAGTTATTTGTCAGGCAAGGATTTCTTAGGGTGGGATAACTGCATAGTTGGGATAGATTTAGACAAGTTTTTGAATGCAAGACATTCTTCTTCTTAGTTATTTATATTATCCCACTATATTTCAGTATTTCATGCACATTACTGGAGGCTGCAGTGAGGCAAACAGTAAGCAATATAGCACCTTTAATAAAGTAATAAGAAATTAGGAAAAATGCTTCCCATTTTTGGTCTGTGGCTACACTCCTATTGACTTCAGTACCCCAGGATTTCACTGCATATCTTCAGGAAAACTGATTTTGAAAATGAAAGATAATCCCTCACTAAATGCAGAACAATTCAGCATAATTACCCCGAGAAGTGAAAGAAACCTTTGAAGAATGTTAATAAGAACATCTACCTTTAAAGAACCTAGTAGCAGCTTCATTTATTTATATTATATTTAAATAAGTACAGTCCTTCTAAGATTAACCTGCCCTAGAATTCTTCTATGCCTGTTGAGAATAACTTGTGTCGGAGGTCACATAGAAACATGCACTGGAAATTTAAAATTGGAATTTATGGACACCCTTAAGTCATGTTCTAAGAAAATTTGATGGTGTACTTAGATATTCTTTTCACATGGCCAACATAATGAGTAGTTATAAAGGGTGAACCATAATTGCAAGGTACTTGATCTACAAGGTGAAATAGTTAAAACTTTTATTTACCTGACTGGTTTTTACACACTTAAAATGCCCATTTCACTTTCAGTTCATATGTTCCTGCCTCCTCTCTCTCCTGAGGACCTCTGTCTTTAATGCCAGAAGAGAAGGTCTGTATGCTACTTTCATATTGCCACTTTGAGGCAAGCAAAAAGTATCAGAATTTAGGATATCTCTTATTCTATTATCTATTTCTCTTCCTTTACAACTTGTACATCTCCACACTGCCCTGGGCAGTGACAGCTACTGGTGGTGGTAGCATAGCCACCCAGTGGAGATGGTGGTGGTGGTGGTGATGGCAGCACCAGTAGTGGCAGCAGCAGCAGCATCTGTCATTTTTGCACACACCCTCCCTACCCCAAAGTCAGTGCCTGGGCTGCTTCTGAAGTTTCCTTTCCCCCTCAGGGCACATTTTCAGGACCCATTCTATAGTCATATGGCTTACTCTTAGCCATGTGATCATAGGTCAAGTCCTGGTTGTGTACATATCTGCCAGTGCTGGTAGCCATGTTAGGAACCTGACATAAGTATGTCAGGGTAGGGGCGGGGCAAGGG